TGAGAGACAGAATAGGTCATTGTTTATATAATCAAACCGATTGCAGTGTTTCATTTGATGATAAGTTACTTTTGACTTGACAAGAAATTTCCCACCATTAGAATGCGCTTTTTAAGTCAATAAATGACTCCATAATAGAGAGTAAGATGCTTTACTTTATTGAGAAAATAATTTCAAAACTGCACATGATGGTAGTTACCATTAGTTAAATTACAAGCACAAATCACCAAGTATGAAGCACTATGTTTATTATTTTTAAACACACCATAATTGGGGAATCTTATTCATTTAATTTATTTTACTCCTTTAGTTAAATGTGTGTGAAACACGCTGTGAAATTTGATTTTGATAAAAAATTTCTCGAGACTTGTAACATATTGTTTGAACCAAGTTTCTCCGAAAGAGGTTAACAAGAAAAATATTAAAAGGATTGTGTGTGAGAGAGAGAAATAGACTTATAAACTGCTAATAAGCTTTTATTGGTTACGTGATAGGGAATAAAATTTCTACCAAATGTGCTTTGGTACCAAAGTGTGAATCGTTGGAAAGCATCCCAAATTGGATGTTGTGTTGTTTGACAGTTTGAGTGAGAACAACTTGTAGAATCAGAACAATTACTCACATTCAAAGGAAAACAATATAGAGTTCAAATCAATCGTCCATTTCAGCACATTCTTGGTACTTTAGTTGACCAAGTCTAACAAATTAAGTTATTCGAAAATTTGGTAGAAATATGACAAAAGTTGATTAAGTCTTCCCTTTGTTTTAAAATAGTTGGATACTATAAGAACCGTGACTCTCAAAATTGTGAGTCACAGTTTTCACAGTAACCCAACTATTTTAACACAGAAGGATGTGAATCACAACTATTTTGACATAAAGAGTATTATTTATTGGATAATACTTGGGTCCTTACAGTAACTCAACTATTTTAACACAGAGGGATGTGAATCACAACTATTTTGACACAGAGAGTATTATTTATTGGATAATACTAATAATAAATTGACATGTGATCTTTAATTATCAAATCAAATATAGTGGGTAGATATTTACTTACCTTATGAGAGATAGTGATTTGATTACCATTTACGATTTGGTAATTAAAATAGAACATATCTATTTATTATTGGTCTACATCCATGGTGAATATGTTATAAATTCTCACAACACCAACTATTGTCCTTATTTAAAAGAAAAAAAATATTAAAATTAAATGTTTCCAGATATTAAATTTGTATCCATTCTTTCCAACCTCTTGTTTTTTATTGTTTTACTTCCACCATCCCATTTTTCTATATATCCATTTTTTACTGTCTCAAAAAAAATATTGAATGGAGGTGTAACCTTGTAGGCCATTGCATAACATCACTTTGGCGGAATTCACACCCCACTAAAACACATATCATTGCTTTTGTTCCAATTGAAAATCTATTCCCTATCTTATACATAGCATTCTTAATTTATTCCAAGACAAAATTTTAAAATGGTAGATTTAAAAATTCATTCACTTCTAATATAAAATATGTATATATATATATATATATATATTAAAAATTATCTTGTTAAAAAGTTAAGTTATAAAAATAAAAAAGAACACTTAAAATAAAACCAAAAATATTCAATAAATGAGATGATAAAAACAAAGTATATAATCATCAATGTTAGAGATGACTTGACTCCAACCTCTAGATCCAATAGCAACAATCAATAATTCAAATTAAAAAATTTCAACTAGGGTTAGTCTAGTAACAAAGTACTCACCTAACATTTGAAGGTAAGTTTGAATTTTCATGAAATTATTAAAAAATTCCTAGTAATTATTTGTTATGAACTTATGCGTGGGACATGTGAACTTCCCTACCAAGCAAGACAATAAAATAAATTTAAATATAGAAAGAGAATGTGTTAAAACAATATAATAACCTAATATATTCAATAAATGAGATGATAAAGACAAAACATATAATCATCAATGCTGGAGATGACTCGACTCGAACCTCTAGATCCAATAGCAACATTCAATAATTCAAGTTAAACATTTGCAACCATGGGTTAGTCAAGTAACAAAGCACTCACCCAACATTTTGAGAGGTACTGGAATGTTTGAATTCCATGAAATCACTTAAAATAATTTTGATAATTATTTGATGCATGTAAGACATGTGAATTTTTTATGTTAAGTAAAATATGTAAACTTTTCTATCTCAATGCATGTATCAATGTCTTATCTATTAATAATAATATTTGGATTATTTTTATTAATTTTTCTCTTTAAATATATCCAAGACATTAATTTAAATAAAATAGCTAGTGAAGTGCAATTTTTGTATCAATTAAATGAATGCCTGTAAATACACAAAAAGGAAAAACTATGGGAGAGAATTCAGTTAGACGAACACCACCATAATCCAAAAAAATAAATAATAAAAATAAAAAACAGTTGCAACTGTGTGAGGCACACTGAATAATTCTAGGATGAGAGAGTAAAAATATCACGTCGAGACAAAGCACTCACTTAGCATTTTGAGAGGTACTGGAATGTTTGAATTTCCATGAAATTACTGAAAATAATTTTGATAATTATTTAATGCATGTAAGACATGTGAATTTTTTATGTTAGGTAAAATATGTAAACTTTTCTATCTCGATACATGTATCAATGTCTTATCTATGAATAATAATATTTGGATTATTTTTATTATTTTTTCTCTTTAAATATATCCAAGACATTAATTTAAATAAAATAGCTAGTGAAGTGCAATTTTTGTATCAATTAAATGAATGCCTGTAAATACACAAAAAGGAAAAACTATGGGAGAGAATTCAGTTAGACGAACACCACCATAATCCAAAAAAATAAATAATAAAAATAAAAAACAGTTGCAACTGTGTGAGGCACACTGAATAATTCCAGGATGAGAGACTAAAAATATCACGTCGAGACAAAGCACTCACTTAACATTTTGAGAGGTACTGGAATGTTTGAATTTCCATGAAATCACTGAAAATAATTTTGATAATTATTTGATGCATGTAAGACATGTGAATTTTTTATGTTAGGTAAAATATGTAAATTTTTCTATCTCGATACATGTATCAATGTCTTATCTATTAATAATAATATTTGGATTATTTTTATTATTTTTTCTCTTTAAATATATCCAAGACATTAATTTAAATAAAATAGCTAGTGAAGTGCAATTTTTGTATCAATTAAATGAATGCCTGTAAATACACAAAAAGGAGAGAGAATTCAGTTAGACCAACACCACCATAATCCATAAAAATAAATAATAAAAATAAAAAACAGTTGCAACTGTGTGAGGCACACTGGATAATTTCAGGATGAGGGAGTAAAAATATCACGTCGAGACAAAGAACGATACACATGAAGAAAAATGGACGTACATGACGTGTCGCGATAAGACATTCCGATCCTGACCGGACGGTGATGGGCAGTGGGGACCACCTACTATTGAATATTGCAGTTCGTAGTAATAATAAAAGAGACTTAAGAGTCTGTACAAAAAGAAAGCGTGTCGAATCGAACCTTCATGAGGACCAATAAATACGCGTAGGCTATAGCGAGAGCTCCTATTGGTCCACGTATCAACGAGTTTTTAATGGATAAACCCTACGCTATCTACTATCATTTCTTTTACAATTATTTATTCCTTTACCATCAAAATAAAAATAATTTGCTTCCAGTGGCGCCAATAAAGTTAGTGGAAGGGGAGTCCCTAAGTAGTAAGTACTAGACAATTAAATTTAATATTTAGGTGTGAGTTGGATTTTCTTTTAATTTTGTAAGTTTTTGATTAAAAATATTATTTATACTGTACTATTTATCTAATAATTATAAATTCAAAAAGCGAGTAATAAATAATAATAATAATTTAACTTTATCTATTGTAAGTTTTGTAACTCAACGAGTTCCTTTATAATTGGTTGGTTTTGGTTTTGAGCAATTCCAACGTGAGAGCATCTCCATTTCTTTATGGTGGTCATTTTCTAATACGTACGCTGATTAGGAATTTGAAAATCAAGTGTATTCACTCAATTATCTTTCATTTCACACACACATGGTAAATTTATCATGACAACATTCTCACTTGACCCGCCACACTTTTCACGACGTTGTGCAATCAATCTTGATGATGAAGCATGAGTTCGTTCAGTGGTCCACTTGTAACTTTTTTTTTCTTTCCAAAACACATGAGTAACATACGTATACCTACCATTATGACAGCTTTTTCACGTCAATTTTAAGTTTTAAAAGGTTGAAATCAAAATAACAAGTGGTATAATTCAGTAGCATATGCTTTACTTTCCAAAGTGAATAGTAATAATATAAATTTGAGTTCTTAAATTTTAAATTTTAAATTGATAGCGTACAAGTAAAACTATTCTATTAATATTATATGGAAAGAATTGTGCCACGCATATGCAATATAAGTTCTTTAATTTTGTGAATCTCACAATAAAACTTAAAGTTTGTTTGGCTTGTAATTCTGAAAACAGTTTTTTAAGGATTTAGAGAATAGAAAACAGTTTTCATAGATTAATAAAATATAATATAGTTTTATGAAAACAGATTTTTTTATAATCGAGTTTTCAGAAAACTGAATAAAGTAGAATTTTTTTATACAGTTTTATGTTTTTAATTTTCTGAAACTGAGTTTTTAAAAAACTGAATAAAATAGAATTTTTTTTATACAGTTTTATGTTTTTAATTTTCTAAAAATAAAAAATTGTTAAAGACTAATATTATAGTGTTGTGAGTCTTGCGACTACAGTTAACATCTCCAACATCAAAAATTAATATGTTGGTCGTTGAGGGTTTACGGTATACACATGTGGGCGTCCTCTTTATATCTTTCCCTTTCTTAATAATTAAATGGGGTTATTCACTTATTGTAAACTTTGTTGGTGGTACGAACTGAGACCGAACTTATCCATTATACTGCCATCCATTATATAAAGCAATAGCAATCAACAAAATAGCGAATATAATAGGTAGAGAGGTATAGGTAGAGAGACTTAAGAGAGCAAGTCAATAAACACACACGTCAACCCATTGCTCCTACTATCATTGTTTTTTCTCTCCAATGGCAACAAGAAAGAACTACCTCGAGAGACCAAATTACATGTATGTTGGAGTGGAGAGAGAGAATTCTATCACTCCCACCACCGATCCATTCGAATTCGAAGAAGCCGACGTTTGGAGCCCATCAAATGATCAAGTCTTTCCATCATCAGAAGTCAAAAAATCAATACCCAATTCACGTTCCTCAAAGAAACCGGTCAGAAGGATGGGTAGCGGTGATCGGAGAGCCACAGCCACCGCGGCATCATTGCCGGTGAACGTACCGGATTGGTCGAAGATCCTCCGCGACGAGTACGATAAGCAGCAGAGGAGAGAGGGTGAAGACAATGTTGAAGACAGTGATGATGATGATCAAGATGATAGGATGCCTCCTCATGAATATCTAGCGAGGACCAGAGGTGCCTCATTCTCTGTGCATGAAGGTATTGGAAGAACTCTCAAAGGGAGAGACCTGAGTAGGGTCAGAAATGCTATTTGGAAGCAGACTGGCTTTGAGGACTAGCATATATAGAAGAAGATCACAACTTTTTCTATCTATCTATCTATATATATATATATATAGCATATGTCATATGATCAATTTGTGTTGGCCTTTTCTTTTTTTAACTTCAAATCCTTCGGTTTTTGGATGTGTGGAATTTGATTCGGAGGATGAATCATGTATTTGATGCTAACTTTTGAGATTGTAGGAAAATTAATTAATATCACTAGCTAATTAGTCATTTTGTTTAATTCCCATAATCTGTGTGTCTCTATCTCTATCTCTATCTCTATCTCTATCTCTTAGTATTTATTTTTATTTAATTTTGTAAGCTAGTTCATTGAAAGCTTTTGAACGTAGTAGATTGATGGATAAATGAAAGGAAGGGTGGTGTGCACTAATGGGTTTCGATGGTAGGTAAGAAAGCTACTGAATAGCAACAACAATTGAAATGTTATTATCCAAGTTTGATCCCTTATGCCTGGGTAGTATTGAATTGGATAACACCTCCGTTTTGATGACCGTATTATAAAATAAAATTATTTTTTCATATATAAGATAAATGTTGAAGTAAGAATTCTGTGTCTTTTTAATGTTACATCTAATCCCCATCATTAATTTCCTGCGGTTTTTTTTTTTTAAATATTTTTTTATGTATGGATAATATTCAAACGATTTTTGGGATATCTGCTTGTTAATTTTCAGTTGATGAAAGATCTAGGGTTATTTAAAGTAACTTCATCATCTCCAATGGGCATGGATTCATGAGGATGAAGCTGAGTTGACTAATGGGAAAAGCAAAACTGAAGTCGTTAGGTTTAAGCCAAATGTGAATGCAAATGAAATTTTGCAGACTGTTTTAGTGGGTATTGTGAAGATCCCAAGAGTTTTTTTTAATTAATTTTTCCTGTAAAAACGAACACGCACTTATTTATTTATTTATTTATTTTTATTTTTGGAAGTTAATACTTATTAATCTAATCAGGTAGTACAATAATTTTCAGACAAAACGAGGGGCGCTGGTTGATTTCCTCAGTAGTTGGTTTTTGTTTGTACTTATCCTATACATAGTTCATTTGGTTTTTTATTTTTTTTTATTTTTTATTTTTTATTTTTTTATCTATACAGTTAGGGATAACATCGAAAAAACATTGGGCCATTTTATCCATTTATCATGGATGATGTTGGTAAAACCAATAAACTCGATGAGTCGTTATTTTATTTATTTATTTATTTTTATCAATTTTATTTAAAAACGTACCTTACGGTTCTTTCTCATCCAAATTATTTAATTTTTTTTTTTTTTTTTGAATTTGTGAATAAGAATATAGATTTCAATGAATAGGTGATATTATATATATGATTTAGCTAATCTAGATGTTGCAGTGAGATAAAATTCTGGAAGATAAAAGAAATTCAAATCACTTTTAAGTTATTTGATGTATTGAGATCTTAAAATACTTTCTTAACTCAGAAAAATACGTAAAATCTTCCAAATCTTCAATTGCAGTAGATAAAGATGATGATAATGAGGAAAATCCAAAAAAGGAAGCCTAACCTAATGACGTTTTTAGTCAAATGATTGGCGTTTTTAGTCAAATGATATCATATTCATTAGTTAATTAAATTGTTGATATGGCGCCTTAAAAGTCATAGGATTAAATACTTGAAGATCAATTTTGTTGGAGTGGAACCATTCCCATAATTCAAGCAGTATATTTGGTTAGTGTTACACATCTACAATTAAAATTAGAGATGCGGTCTTGAATGCCATAGCTAAAAAGATATTACTAATGTTCTATATTTCAATACATATTACACTTTTATTCTTTTATACATTTGTGTTTCATATTTTAGCATAAAATGAAATAACGAATAATTACAGTAGGTTTCTCTCTATATATTTAATTTATTTTTCTCTACCCTCTCTATATTTTTCAACTATTCGATATCTTTGTTGGGTATTTTTTTAAAAAAAATTAATAGTAATTAATAAAAAAAATACCAAATCAAAATACAATTATAAAAAGTTTTAACTGAGTTATGTAAATTATGATTCTTATTTACAAGAAAGAGATCATTCATTTATGGTAAAATTGTAATTTTTAATTTTAATTTTTTGAAAATTTAGTAGAAAGAGTGTCCCAAATGAAGATGGTTATAATTGAATTTTAAGTTATTATGTTATATTAAGGTTTAGATTCTATGATAATAAGTTTGCTATTTTATTTTCTTTCCTATATTAAGATTCTTTTTATATTAAAAAATTTGCTTTTAAAACACACGGCCAAATAAGTTACAAATAAACAGCCACATAATTCAAGATAAACTCATAAATTAAAAATCCTAAATTATAGCATTTTCCTATATACCGTGGTGAAATTCTCTTTCGGACATAGTGGTATGTATGGTTAATTGAAAAACTCTTAAATGATATTTTAAAAATAACTATTATTTTTTTATTTTTTTCAAAATTGCAATAATTTTTTATCAACACATATTTTCATATTTTTGCTTTTACAAATCTTATAACAAATGAATGTTACCAAACATACTTTTTATTATTATTCAAAACATCATGTAATAAGACACTTATTTATTCCGAATTAAAACAAAAATTCAAAAACAAAATGCGTTTATATATATATATATAAGTGCAATAATATCAACTTGACTTTTGGCCTCAGTCTCTAATTTCACGCATTTATGTACATTATTATAATTTGACTTCTGGAAAAATAAGCACAATAATATATACATATATATTTGATTTCATATGTCACCACTCTCATAATCATTCTTGCCTTTATTCATATAAAAATTATTTTTATTATACACTATATATAGTTAAAAAAAGTTAAATTATTTTTAATTACTTTATCTCATGGTAAGTTTTAGCGGGCATCTTTGGCTTTCACTTTTTAAAGGCACGGGAAAAACTTCAACACTTTTAAGTCTCTCCACTTTTGAGAAATAGAGTGTGAGCAATTGTAATGACACAATTTATCCATTTTATTTGGATATTCAGGGCCTGTGAATATTTTAATAGACTCAATGATATTATATCTTTTATTATTACCTTCGTTTTTTTTTATATCTTCTACTATTATCTCCATTTTTTTTTTTTTTTATGTTGGCCAATCATTTTGTTTCCATATCATTCACTCCGCGCATTTCAATGGTGTCATACATTCCACTTAGGGCTGTAACTCGGACAGGTCCAACTCGAAATAACCCGGGCCCAGTCCAAAATTTTGTAGGTTTGGGTAATGTTTTTCTAATTTCGGTTTAGGTCTGAGCTATATATTTTGAATGCGAATTCAATTCAGACTGGGCTTGGGTTCGTATGGATGAAACCCGAAGCCGAACCCGAGCTCGAAAATATTATATATATTTATAATTATATTTAAGTCACAAAAGTGTAGTAGCCAAATTAGTAGCGTGCTTTCAATTTATGCTTAAGGTTTCGGGTGAATCATTAATTGATTTATTTTTTACACACAAATTCTTCTGAGGTGGGCTTAGTGCGGGTTCAGGCTGGACAAATTACGTATGGGTTAGGTTTGGGCAACTCGGCTCGGGCTCAGGCTGGGTTTGGGCAGGGCTTGGGCTTAAGATTTTCTATATGGGCCTAACCCGAGATAAATGCCAAGCCCGCTCAACCCGCTCGAATTGCAACCCTAATACCATTATTTTCACATTTGCCCACTATTTTGATGGGAGAATGGAGCAAAAAATATGATGTTGAGATACCCACACCGATCACTTGGGCTTTCTGCTCAATTATATATTATCCAAAATAACAGATGCCCTAAAGAAGCAATCTCCCATAGTTGTGAGAGTTCAAATAAACGACTTTAGGCTTCAAACAATTTTTAATTCTGTGGAATACTTTTACAGATGCAAAAAAAATGTCACATTGGTTTTTATTAGGGGTAAGTGCAAGAAACACCCCTGAAATATACTTTTTATAGCAATTTTACCCCCTACTTAAAAAGGTGTGCAAAAAACACCCATAAATTATGACATTTGTGCAAATAATTCCTATTTATAAAAATTAGACTAAAATGCCATTAGCAACAGAAATGACTAAAAAAGGCTTGGCCCTTCTTCTTTTTCATTTTGGTGGTTGCCGAGGGAAGTGAAGACTAGAGGCTACTAACTATTTCCCCTCTGCTTGGTAATCATCTCCATTCCATAAATCTAGAACCAACCAAGGAAACCATCATTAATGATATTGAAGCACTGAAGATTATTGATATTTTGGATACAGAGCCTTATGGTGAATGGTTGAAAATAATTGGTTCTTGTAATGGATTGGTATGCATACTGTATCAGAAAATAAATAGTTTCCGTCACTTATATATAGTTAACTATTTCCCTTATGCTTGGTAATCGTCTCGCCGCGCTAACTCGTCAGTTGACTTGGGCCACTCTGTAAGAAACTCAGAAAAACACTTCTCGTCCCCAAAATATCGAGGTGTGATGATATAATCTTTGATTTTGCTTGTTTTTGTCATGAATTTCATGAGAATTTGTTCTGATTCGGTGTTTATGTTAACTTAAAAGACATGGGTCTTGTCCTGATCACCTCAATCGACTCCCAGTGGAATCGGAAACTGGTCTAGCAATGGAAGCCCAAAAGATCCTTCTCAAGTCTCCTCGCCGCCGATCGACGACGCTTGGAGTCTAATTAACGCAACAGCTGGACAGGTGGTGTGATACCCCCAGATTTTCGGATGCATGTTGGCCTGACCCACACCCGAATACCTGAGGATATCAAAACAAATGGCAATAATCGAACACAGAATAATACAAATATGATAAACAGGAATAATTAAAATGGCTGAAAGAAAACTAAATCGATAATCCAATAACGAAATCCTCAGAATAAATTATTATAAATAAATCATTCTGAAACACATAATCCTCCAACTTGTACAACTCAGGAATCTATACACTATGGACCCCTGGGAAAACAAAATAATCAACAATCTACAACTAGATACAAAAATCACAAAGAAATTCCTGTGTAGACAATCTGGAAGAATGATGTAAACGATCCCTGCTCAGCACGAACAATCCCTACTCCTGATGAATACCTGAAAAATGAAGGTGGGTCGGACCCACATCCAAGTTCTACTCTACTATAGTCCAAGCAAAGACCCGATACGCAGATACATCATAGATAACTCAATAATATCTATATAGTCCGTAAATATATATATATATATATATATATATATATATATATATATAT